GGAGGTGACCAGAAAACACAGCCTCCTTTTCAATATGGAGAGGAAAAACTTGACGTAGACTTGTTTAATAGAAAATAGAAAGAAAAGAATATAATTAACAGTTGTTGTGATTTTGTGGATGAATTGGTTAGACAGTATCACTCTGAGATTAAACAATCAGTTGGCTTTACCAACCCAAATTACAAGCGTCTACAAATGCATTTGAGTTTAACATTTGGCATTTTGATTTTAAAATGAGCCCTGTGCAGTACATCAGTACACGTTGAAAGGATTCACATTTGGTTAACAGTTGTAGTAACTGGCTGGTAGACCCAAATGCTTTTTTTTTTCTACTCCATGTTTTGGAAATTACTCTTTAAGAAGTCACTGGAGGTTAAGAGTTACAGATGACACAAAAATGAATGTGAGGAAAAGGCACTCCCAAGGAAGAATGAATGACATTAAATAGTGGTACGTTCAAACAAGATTAATTTTACAGTTTAATTTTGAAGGGATATAGAACTAAGGAGTGTCCCATTTCACTCTCACATCGAGTGCTGTGGTCGGGGATGTGTCATCGTAGTAGAGGATGTGAGAGTGAGATGTACAAGATACTGTAAGTTCCTTGTCTGATTCTGTGTCAAAAAGGCTCTGAAAATGGGAGCAGTAAAATAATGCTTTGTGTCTGTGTACAGCTTTGTTGGAACTAATAAACTTTTTAACGCTACATTTGCTTTAGATGTCTGTCTTTGAAGAAACATACTGGAAAAGAACGCGCAGAGAAAATGAGATTTAAAGAACCGAAATAAAAAGAATTGGAGGTGACATGATAAGTGATTTTAAAACTCCATAAGGAGAAAGTACTAACTGCGAAAGCTCTTTAATTTGGTGAAGAAAAGTAGAGGAAAGCATAAAGCTGAAAGTCAGACATTCACCTTGGAAATAAGGCAAATATTATAACAGCGTGATTAGCCAGTGGAACAAACTATCAGAGAAGGTGGTGATTTTCCATCCCTTGAAGGCTTTCAAATCAAGAATATTCATTTTCTGGAATTCAGGCTTAAGCCAAATACAAGTTTACCTTAATGGAGTTGGGGAACTGGGAGCTTGTGCGAGTCTTTGTGCCTCTGGCATGAATTTCATGCATACTTCAGGTGCTGTTAGCATTGAAAGATCTCCAAGGCCAAGCTTATGAGGCATTTATGTGTCCAGAGTGGTGTATGCCCTGGCAGGAAGAGGCTTGAAGAACTCTGATTATGGGTAAGCAGATTATCTTCCTTGGGTGCAATGCAGGATAACTAAGGAAAAATTAATGACCTTGGGTACGGGAAGTGAGTATGGATTATCCTAAACTTTACTGTGAATCCGTTAACTAGTTACATTTCCAGTTTCCTTAACTAATCTGTGCCAAAGACTTAAGTGGAAATGAATCCGGCTGCTGGCTGCATTAGCTTCCACCTACATAATTATGGTCATAGAGGACAGATGTGCTGTACAACCATCAGCTGGCCTACATGGTAATTTTTTCCACATTTTAAAATCACAAGTCCCTGCTAACATAGCCCTTCACCATAAGTGCCAGACAACATCAGTGTTGCCATCTCTGTCTCAGTTCTGTGGCTGGATTTTAAAGCCTTTAAAATGCTATTGTCTTGTGTCCTGTTGGGTAGTTTTCCTAACTGGTACGGATGTGCTAGGAGCTCTGTGGGGCTGAAACTAGAGGAACAGTTGTCTCAGTGGTTTGCATGTAAGACTATACTATAGAGGGGGAAAAAAGGAGAACAGTGTGGAAATTTTGAAACAAGTTGGCAAAACGAGTCTTAGCAATTATAAAATAATTTACTAGTAATTCTTATTTATGCTGTTATTAACTGAATAATAATGATTCTGATTTTGCTGAATCCTAGTGTTGTTTAAATTACCTATTTTGAGGAGGGCAGTTTCAGGCACGTTTCAAGACTGTTTCTTTTTTAGAACAAAAATAAGTGTAGAAGTCTCTAGAATTTTACACTTATTAAAATAGTTCTCCTTTTAACTTAAATAATCACTTCTATTTTTTTTTACTGTGATAAAAAGTCACTTCATAGGGAATGGAGCAAAAATAAATACATCTGTTCCATATTTGGTTTCAGTCTACTTTTTCAACAGAAATCATGCATCAACATTAATCTTGTAACAGTAATAAATAGTCAAACATGAAGACAAGCTGCTAGACAACTCAGTAGATGAGATATATAAAATACCTTTTCTTCAGCATCTTCAATTCCTTCTTTTATTTCTTACTTCCAGCAGAACTTGCATCACTTCCAAAGCATGCTGTGTGCTTTCTTTAGGCAAGAATACGGAGTCACGAGATGGTTTGTCACAGTCCTTCTTGTCTTCATTAGAAACAATTTCAAGATGTCTTTTGTGCTTCAGCTTCTGTAAACCTAAGATAACCATGTCTGTTATACTGCTGATGTTTACTCCTTGGCGTTAACATTTGATATAAGATGGAATTGTTATTATTACTGTTCAGTTCTTTGATGACTGAAAATGTCAAGTGGTAGTTTATATGTGAATTATAGAAACATCTTTCGTTCTCTGCAAAAGAAAAGGATTTTGGAATGGGATCTGTATTTTATGCTTAAGCTAATGTATTTTATTTCCTGAGAACATCCTTTGAAATGGCTCTGTTGTTGCTTGAAAATGGTATTTTGCAAAAATTTGTTTTGACAATGAAACTTTTATTTTAGAAAACTATTAAAAGTTGCCAGTCGTGAAGAATCGATTCAGTGTTTGAAAGAGTAATGCTAGATTTTGAATTGTAATCTTTCTTGTTTCTTGTAAAGTGAGTTAAAATAATACACTGACGATGTAAGAGTTGGTAGGTATTGTGACATAGCCTTTTGGAAATCTGAGTCACCATGCTTTGTGTTAGCACTTAGATTCTTGAACTTATGTTTATCAGTGTGTTATTTCCCTTCTCTATGTTCAGTGCTAGCTGATCTTGAGTTAGCAGTGTCCCAGGTGGCCGGGAAGGCCAACGCTGTGCTTGCTTAAATCAGAAGTAGCGTGGCTAGTGGGACTATGGAAGTGATCGTTCTACTGTATTCGGCACTGGTGAAGCCACGCTTAGAGTGCTGTGTTCAGTTTTAAGTCCCTCATTACAAGAAGGACATCAAGGCCCTGGAGCGTGTCCAGAGAAGGGCAACAAAGCTGTTGAAGGGTCTGGAGCTCAAGTCTTAAAATGAGTGGCTGAGGGAACTGAGATTGCTTAGTCTGGGGAAGAGGAGGTTCAGGGGAGACCTCAACACTCTCCACAACTACCTGAAAGGAAGTTGCAGCAAGGTGGGGATTGGTTTCTTCTCCCTGATAATCAGCAATAGGATGAGAGGCACTGACTTCAAGTTGCACTAGGGGAGGTTCAGGTTGGATATCAGGAAACATTTCTTCTGCAGAAGACTGATACAGTATTGGAAAGGCTGCCCAGGGAGATGGCAGAGGCACCATCCCTGGGGGCTTTCAAGAAACATGTAGGTGTGACATTTAAGGACGTGGTTAGTGGGCATAGTGATGATGTGTCGGAAGTTGGAACTTGATGATCTTGAAGGTCTTGTCCAATCTTAATGATTATGACAACACCATCCTGCTAATAATAATAGTTTAACCTGATAGTTTTACTCTGTAAATAGTGAGCAGCCCAAGAGCCCTTGGGGATTTAATCCTCTTAATGAGGCTGCGTATGACTTCCCCAGTTCTTTCTAAATATTTGTGAAGCGTGAATGACTATGTCTCAGAATGAAATACATAGAATAATTATTGGAAGTGATGTGTTGGAATATACCTCCCTTGAGAAAAGCCTTGAAGAAACCTCTGCTGTGGAATGCAGTGAATATACAAAGTCTGTTTGCATATGTCTGTTCCATGACAGTTCACTAAGCAACACAAGACAGGGAAACATCAGCTTGTTAACAGCGCCAGGGAGCTCAGTATGCTGACTCTTAAGAGAGAGAGCACAAAAGATGGAGTGAAGTGTAAAACTCCACAACCAGGCTGTGTGTCAGAATTGCAGAGATGGGAACTTGGTGGTACTGTGGAACTGATAAACTGTACAGTAGCCATTCACAGCAGCTTTTCAGTCTTCGTTTGCACCAATTGCAACAAAGCTACATATGATTATAATCACTCAAGTTCCACCCCAAAGAAGGAAAATAGCATTAAAGTGGCCTTAAAGATCAAGTGTTTGGGGAAGATACAATTGCGGACAAAGCAGGAGAATACCACTGGCTTGTGGGACCTGTTGACAGGCTGAGCTTCTCTTCCTCCCATAGGAGCATCTAATGGCTGGGATTTACATACTCAGTTATACAAAGTGCTTCCCTCAGGAAACTTAAAAATCTCTATAGAGAGTTATTCTATAATGTAACGCATTTGCAGTCAGCTTATTATTCATATTAATGATACTCACACATGCTCTGCAGACAATGTATTTATCACTGACCTTAAAAGCATCTCTGCTCTGTTACTCCAATAAAGAGTACAGTTCACAAAGCTAGTCGTAAGAGTTCTCAGTGGATATGAACAAATTCTTTAAGGTTGAGAGTCCATTCAAACACAGCTGGACCCACAGCACCAAATTGAGTATTAACTCTTCAGTGCAAAAACCAGACTCTTAAATCCTCACCTATAGTTGCATATGTTATTTCTTTAACTGTATCACAATTAAAAGGTATATAAATCAGTTTCTCTGAATTATAAGCAATAAAGTATTTTGTTATTCATACGTGTTTGGGAAACAAAGCAGGGAAAATTTAAAATAGATTTTGTTGAAATTGATCCTGTTATGTAGATGTTGGCTGTCTCAAGATGATGGGTATGGGGTTACTCCTTCACTCTGAATAACTGAAATAGAATGCTTTTGTTTAATTTAAATTTGTTGTTGTCTAACAGGTGATTTCTTCCATAGAAATATGTAAACAGTGAATTCATAAGTTAGTTTGAATTAATAATAAAAATGTTCTTATTGTTTTTCCTTCTAGAATATTTTCTTTCTTGGACATAGTTACTTTGTGTCGATGTGCACAAGTTTCCAAGGTATGTGTTTCTATTGTTGTTGTTGTTCTTTGGGAAGCTCTAAATTGTTTGCAAATCATGGGCTTTCAGATGGTCTTCCTGTTTAAAAAATAAGAATATCAAGTATTTCTCTCAGCATCTTTTATTAAAACAAAAAAATTGTTGTTCCAGTTTTGTGTTCAGATATGCTAAATTAGTTGCTATGGACTGAATTTCTTTTTAAAGGCTATGGAAAAGATATCCAGTAGTGTGTGCTCTATATCTGGAGAAGGGATTAAACCCATTTTGGCATAGTGGCATTTGCTTTTTATTAAACACGTGGCTGTATAACAGTATTTGTCAGACACATTCTGCTTAAAATTCCATGTAGCTCAGTTAACGTGCACCACGTGTCTTAAGTACATCCATCATTTGCTTGCCAAATACAAAAGGTGTTAAATAAATGGACTACCAGTAGAGAAGAAATGCACACAGAAGGTAATAGAGAAAGCACGCCAAGTAAGCTTTTATGTTTAGCTAATCTTACTTTTATTTTGAATTAACATGAAAAGCATTCTGCTACTACATGAAATGTGTGGTGAAGTGTTTTCTTCTACAACATGAACTTTCCACATCATTCTTCATTCTTCTAATGCAGAAGAAGCCTTTCTTTCTTCCTTTTATTTGTTTTAATCTATAATTGTCTAACTGCTAAATTCCCAGACCTGTATTATTCTAGCTTGCAGCTTCAGTAAGTTCTGAGCTAACTAACATCAGGATTTGTAAGAACTTTAAGTCAAAGCCTAGAACACATCTGAAGAAAAACAAGGCAAATTAATAAATCCTTGTTTCGTTTTCTCTCAGAACTATGTCAGTTGGATGCAATATTCTTTATTCCTGTTTTTCTGAGTATGTTCTTGTTTTTCGACCTTTTTACTTTGTTTTGCTTTGAAGGACTGCTCTAACAATGAAGAAGCAATTATCAAGTGTGTATGTAAACTCAGCACATGGAAAGGCCTGATCCCAACAGTGGAAAGTCAGCAATGTTCTGAAAGGCTTATTTTCCTCACAGAGTAACTTGTGAGGTTGAGGAACTATGGTTTTCTTGGAAGGAGTCTTATGTGCATTTGCTTTTCTCTCCATATATATCTAGTTAAATCATGCTACGTATGTGTTTTGCATTTCATTTCTTGCTTTTATACATTTTATAGGTATAAGATTCTGAAATGTAATCCATTTAGGAGAGTTGAAGTTAATTTAAACAAGTGTTCTGGTTTTAACTAGTTAATATTTTGTTACTAATATCTGCTATTACATTTGCTTTTTAAAGAGTGCTACCCAAATTTGTATTTGAGAGTTTGTTGTATTGGAATTGCTGAGAGGAAAACAAAAGGGAGCAGGCATTGGAGATGTATAACTCTTATTTGTTTCCCGTAGGCATGGAATGTTTTAGCTCTGGATGGAAGCAATTGGCAAAGAATAGACCTTTTTAACTTTCAGACAGATATAGAGGTTAGTGTCCTTGTTTATTTCATTCCTCTGGTGATGCTTAAGTACCTCATAGATTCTCTGAGTTCACATTTTAAAGGCTAAAGCTCAGGATAATAAAGCAGTAAAGGAGTGAATGGTCAACTCTGTGTTTGGCTTTTTTTTACACTGATGATGTTTTTTTGAGTTTTGCTTGGAAGCAATGTATCAGATACTTGGCATATATTGTATATACGCAGAGTTCAACAAATTCAGAACTGATCATTTCCAGAAAACAAAGGTATGAGCAGCGTCTCTGAACTGAATGAGATGCTCACAGTTACTGATGGCCTTGTGGGAAGATTCTGTTGCTTGTCTCTGGTCTCTGTGACAGCGCCATCTAGTGCTAGAAGCTCTCTGAGTGCTTGTCTTCGGACATAAACTGAAACAACAAAATGGTAAAAATCTTCCCTTACTTCCCTGACTTGGCCTGGATTTGCTTTGCTGTGGATCTTTGTACATTTCATCAATGCTTCTTTCCTGTGGCTTGAGTGAAACGAAATGACTGAGATGCAGGTTCATGCAGATTAAAATCCTTTTCAGCGAATGTATAGTCAATGAATGTAAAGATACTAGAATTATGAAATAAACAAGAGAGTTTGGCTAAGCAGATCATAATAACAAAAGAGAATAGATAGAAAGCTTACCTGTATCCTGGGCTCACTGCAAAACTCTAGAGGAGAGAACTCCAGAAGAGATCAGAGACCCTTCCCCACTGGCAGTCAGCCCTTAAATGGGTCTAGGAGGTGCAGCCAGGCTCCACTCCTTCCATCACACAGCTGAATTGCCTTCACCTGTGCTCCCATGGCTGACTCAGTGCTCACCTCAGGTGGTCAATCAGAGGCTCAGGCTGTGATTCAGCAGTTCCCATACAGCATATAGTGAAGCAATTAGGGCAGTCTTATGTTCCATAGGAAAAAAAAAAACAAACACGTGCATGCACATTATCATAGATGTGCATAAGAAAATAAATTATGATATTGCAAAATGAAGACTAAAACCCATGGGAAATACAGTTCCTTAATATAAATTAAATTCATTCGTTATTTGTATTTGGTAATTGAAATTAAGCTTAGAATACAATAATGAATTTGCTTCTGAAATTTTGTGCTGAAGTTTTAACTGCACAAGTAAAATCCAGATGGGGGTCATTTGGTATATTTTGCAAACCCTATTTCAAAGAATTCCTGAAGCTTTACAGTAACAAAGAGTAAAATTCCTCACTGTTTTCTTAAAATTTTATTTCCAGCTCCTCTGCTATACAGATATTAAATATGAGTATCTGGCAGAGGTAGGAGAAAGATTTTTGGAATCTGTGAGTGTTTTAAGATGTTTTGGGGCTCTAATGTCATCTTTTTCACTTGCCTTTAAAAAAAATACAAACTTGTGTTTCTCATTTGCTAAGAAATAAAAAGTGAAGCCCACCAGACTGCTGGCTTTTCTCTTGTCCAGCTTTTTTCTGGAGTCTTTTTGCTATGTTTATGCTGAATTTGTCTTTATTGTACCTAATGGCATTGTACTTTCAGATGTATTTCTGGCCTGGTATAAAGGAGAGTGAATGAAATTAAGTTATGATCCTATTTTTCTGTAAGGTTTTGAGAAATTTGATTACCTCAGTATATTGTATTTAAGTACATTTGTAATACAAATTCTTAAAATTTATTCATAACTTAAACCAATGATTACTGCATGAATTAGTTTTGAATGAGTTATGCATTCACTTTCAATATTAAAGACCTGGTTTAGAATCATGGAATCACAAGGTTAGAAAGGACCTTCAAGATCATCTAGTCCAATCTAGAGCTGTCCTCCTGTCACCATTGCTACCACAGACTACTAAACCCTATCTTACAGTGTGTCTTGTTTTGCTTTAAGCTGTTTTAGTAATGTGGATTTTTTTGTCAGACTTCAGGACAGGTGTGTATGGCAGCTTTTTAAAAGCTCCATTAGTTGTTGTACTGTTTGATGATGTTTCACATAACGTCAAGCAGTACTTGATCTGAAACTGTCGGATAATGGAAAGTCATGTTTTGTGGTATATTTTTCCCTTTTTGAAGTCTTGGATGATGTAGAACAAGCCAAGAAAAATGTATTTCTGTACCATAAAGGAATTTTTTTTCCTTCCACAAAGTTGTGTGAAAATCTTCCTGAAGTTAAATGAGCCTTAGGATTTGTGGGTCTGTGGTACCAAATACAAGCTGAAGTAGTTTGAAGAACTAGTTTTTGAGTGACACTATATTATTCAAATACCTGGACACATTTTAATGTACTTGTCCTTTTTAATACATTGTTTTGGTGGGTTTTTAACATGCTTCAATTAATAAATGGATATGAGAAACCGTATGTCATTATTTATTTCAATTTGCTTTGAATAATTAGATTTTGGATCCCCCCCCTCCATTATTGAGCCTCCATTATATGTAACTTGTTGAGAAGACTTTATCCTTAAAGTAAAGGTACTTGGCCTCTTGTGAGAAATAGTTCTGGGTGATTGGAGAACTCTAAAAAAACATGTAATTTCATGAAGTGTGTAATGATCTTTGGTTTGTTTTGATGTAGACATGTTTGAGAGAGGAGGTGACCAGTTACTTACTGACTTAACAAATCACAGAATCACAGAATCACAGAATCACCCGGGTTGGAAGGGACCTCAAGGATCATGTAGTTCCAACCCCCCTGCCTAGCAGGGCCACCAAACACACACATTCAGATCAGGTTGCCCAGGACCCCGTCCAACCTGGCCTTGAACACGTCCAAGGATGGGGCATCCACAACCTCCCTGGGCAGCCCGTTCCAGGGCCTAACCACTCTCCTTGTAAAGAACTTCCCCCTAACATCCAACCTAAATCTTCCCTCCTTCAACTTCGATCCATTAACAAGTTAACAACAAATTAACAAACAAGTGCTCATAAAAATGTTTTCATCAAGAGTTCAGTATTGCAGGAGAATAACAAAATACAAGAAATGTCTTTACTGATGCTGTGAAAATGCCACCACTGCATATAGAGAAGAAATAAAAATAAAAATTCACTGCTCTATAATTTTGTAAGTTTCTATATGTAAAATAAAAGAGAAGAAGATAGAAGGTTCTGTTGGGTATGTAGTGGTCCTGTTTGTTAGATGATCAGTGTTGATTTGTTTTTACTTTTATCTTTCTAAACGTAGACACCGTATGACGTCTAGTCAGTTGTTGCAGTGCTTTTTGGTCTGTCATCTTATTCTGACTGTCAAAAAAATTAAAAGAAGGGTGCATATTATGTACCACAATTTAAATAACATATTTTCAATAGTGCTACACTTTGAGCTTAGAATACTAGAAGTACTGTACCATTCTGCTTGCTCCTATTACATAGCAAAATGCTTTCAAGATGTAAATAAATAGAATTTTATAGCAAGTGGGGTCAATTAGGAAGTTTTGTTTGTAAACTGTGCTACACAGTGTGAAAAGTCTCATTTCTAAATGGTAGGAACAGACATGCAAATAAATACAACTTTGAAAGCTAGCAGGTAGTCTCTGGCAAATCTTCTGGATGCGGTTGAAGTACTCGAGTACTGTGTCCAGGTTTGGGGCCTCCAGATGTGGAGCTGTTGGAGAGGGTCCAGAGCAGGGCCATGAACATGAGCAGAGGGCTGGAGCACCTTCCTTTCGGGGACAGGCTTAGGGAACTGGGCTTGTTCAGCCTGGAGAAGAGAAAGCTGTGGGGAGATCTCATTGCAGCCTTCTGTTTATAAAGGGGTTTATAAACAGGAGAGGAATCAACTTCTTATGAGGGTAGACAGTGATGGGACAAGGGGGAATTGTTTTAAGCTCAAGGAGAGAAGATTTGGATTGTATGTCAGAGGGAAGTTCTTTAATGTGAAACTGGTGAGGTGCTGGAACAGCTGCCCAGAGAGGCTGTGGATGCCCTCTCCCTGGAGGTGTTCAAGGCCAGGTTGGATGGGACCCTGGGCTACATGGTCTAGTACCTAAACTGGAGGTTGATGGTCTTGCCTGTGGCAGGAGGATTGAAACTTCATGATCCTTGAGGTCCCATCCAACCCAAGCCATTCTGTAAAACAAGACTTACGAGAGGCTGTAGCTCAGTGTAGTGTCAGGCTATCCTAAACATGTATCTGTGGATAATGTAACCTTGTGTGCTGGAGTAACAACCAGTCCTTGAGGAACAGGATGCCTCCTGTTCTGCTTCTGGGCAGTTCTGCAGATTTCTTGCAAAATTGACAGCAATCTTAATGGGTAAGGTATTGCTGAGGCAAAAAATTGAGCTACATGTGGTAGACTCAGAAAGAGAACTAAAGATTGAACTGAACAGCACTTCTCTCATCAGGTAACTCTTTTCCTTAAAGGAAAAGGAATTTCAAAGAGATACGTTTCTGTTGGGATTTTTAAGTTGCTAAGAATGTTATGTCAGAATGAAACTCAACAAAATCTTCCTTTTATTTGGTTTAAGGGTCGTGTTGTGGAAAATATATCGAAAAGATGCGGTGGGTTCCTGAGACAACTTAGTCTGAGAGGATGTCACGTTGTTGGAGACTCCTCCTTAAAGTAAGTAAAGTCCTAGGCTAAGACATTACTTTTGTTCCAAATATTAGGAAATAAGTAATTATTGGTAGATCTGTTTGGATTTTATGTACCTTCTGATGGTCAAAATGGGACACTTAAGTAAGTACTAAGTACCGTAGCAGTGACTAAATGAGCCATCAGTTTGAGAATAAAATATAGCTAATTTTTTTTTTTTTCCCTTAGAAACGAATTAAAATTTTTCTTTTCTCTCAATTTTCAAGCATTTTAAATGTTTTCAGGTTTATACTTTGGCAAGCTGCCGATATAATTTCATCAGGATCAGTAGCCAGATTATAATTCATCTTTTTTAGACATGAGAGTGGCCCCAGCAATGGGAGAAAAACTGAAGACTGGTGCCTGCCAAATTGGGAAGGGTATCTTCTTTCTATGATGTAAAATAAAGAACAAACAGGCAACACAAGCATCTTAGGGAAGCTGACCCTTCTTTATGCAGTATATAAATTGAATGGTGCAGCTTGTTCTCACAAGAAACTTTGAATCCCTGTAAGCTTTTTCTGTATTCAGACTGATTATCCAGATTCCTCTGTGGGTGTTTCTTTGTTGATTTAACCCACAGATCTTACCTCCAGCTGAAGGGCCCCTGTTTGACAAGTCCTTGAGGACTCAGAATACTGGGAGCCAAGCTCAGGATACAACTTCTTGGCAGCTGTTGCTCTTTCCTCACTGTCGCAGCAGACTGGGCTAGGTGATGTTCAGTCTGACTTAGTGTGGCTGCTTTTTTGTGGAAGATAAAAGCATAAAGATTTGAGTTAAACAGTGGCAATTTTTAATGCCTCGTGACCTCTTTATAAAACTCGTGAGCAAGTCTAATTCATTGAATTGGCTTCAGAGCAAATTCATGAGCATTTCTGGTGCATAGTCTGAGTCAGAGTGTTTCTCCCTGTAGAAGTTTAAAGGCTTTTTTTTTTCTTAAAAACAAAACAAAACAAAACAACTAGAAATGTTACGTTGACCCGTTCTAAACAATCTTTTTTCTGTTTTCTCAGTCTTCCTAGATTATCTTACACATTGCTAAAAATCTAGAATCTAATCCAGTATTAAAATTATAGGTGTGTTATTGTATCTGTGGAATTAATTCTTCACATCCATTTTGCTAATACAAGAAAAGGATACTCCTGACAGAGTTGTGGTCCTCTGAATCCAGCTGCTAGTTAAATAATAAATTGCTTTAGTAACCCAGGCAGGCATCCTGACTTCAGACCCAGAGGTTTCCTTGTAGACCAGGCCCAGGAGTCCTTGCAGGCTATCTCCTTAACTGCTCCATGGAGTTTTGCCACCTTCAAACAGTGTTGTCTCCTCAGAGGAAAGTGTGTGTTACCATTTCCTTTCCAGATGACTGGCAGCTGCTCTTATAGAAAAAGAAATAGCCTCAACCATAGTTAACTTTCTGCAGCATCCCTGCAAGATTCCGGAGCATACATGTAGATGACCCCTGTGTCCTCAGTAGGGAAAGTCTTGAAATAGAAGAGAAGGGGAAGGCATATTTGGAGAGGGGCTCAAACTGAGGGATAGATAGGAAAGAAATAAGAAAGGTATAAGGAGGAAAGATGACAGTAAGCAGAAAATTTTGCTCTTCACCCACCTTCCCCCTTAATATTCAGTTTAGGCTCATGAGTACTAATCAGAACTCTAAGGCTAGGGGACTGCAGTGAGTAGAACCAGTACATACATGTTGATTCAGGTACTGATGGTGTCTGAGAAGAGGACTGGGGTTGTGATGTATTTGAATGGCAGTATATTTAGTAAAGACATATTTAGAGTAATTTAGCAGTTGAGCGTGCAGCCTGTGTGCATCGATGGGTCGGTGGGGCTAGTTGTGCCAACAGGAAATTGGGCAGGGTTAGCAGAGACAGCTGCTGGGCTGTTGGCACTATACACAAGTGCATCTGTAATAACTGGTGTAGGTGGCTGTGTCTGAGGCATTTACAAGCAGGTGGTATTGCAATTAACCACTGAATGGTAAACGTATGAGCTTTAAAAGTTTCAAAACATTAAGATGAGTCTTATCAGGACCCTTTCAGTATTTCTGGGAGTGATATGAATTATCCATTTTTTCCTTCTTCTGCATCCATATTTCATTTAAAAACAGGCAGAAATCAAAGTAGGCTTTGGCTGTGCAGGTGCTGAATGTTCGTGGCATCTGTGTACAGACACATCCCTGCTTGAATCTCACAGGCTGTTAATGCAAGTTATTACAGAGCATAGTGTCTTTTCAAGTGATTTGAAGAGTGTCTCGATTGCAAATTTCACTCCAGTATGTGAATTTTGGAATAGCTGTTTTAAGTATTCAAGTGGAAACTATCACCAGTCTACTGCTGCTGATTCTGTTGTTTTTTTTTCCATTGTTTTCAGTCCACACAGGAGAGCCAGGAAGCTGTTACCAGCTGAGTGTGTAGTCGGATCTGTTAACCATGGCAGGCCTCCAGACAAAAATGTTTTTGTGTGTTTCCTCCACCCCTGCCAATAAAATCCATGCAGTTGGAGGAAACGCGGGCATAAAAACAGTGTTCTGAAATGCAGTGCAGCTGTAAACATTACTCTGAAAAGATGAAAAGAAAGTTGATGCTTTTTTTTTTTTTCCCTGGGTAATTAGTTTAATGATATATACAGGCTTTTAGTGGTGTAATAGCTGTAATCATCTTTAGCGTGCATACCCAGTGGTGCACACAGATGCATTTTAATTTTTAAAATAATAAATAACTAATTTAGAGCCCACAGGGCTTTCCCTTAGTAGTCCAAGTAGACTAGATCCCACTTCTGTGCTGTGCAAGGCATGTTCTTTCTGTTTGATGTGGGAGTGAGTTCCTTAATGGTACCTACAAAAGCTTCAGTAATGAAATGTGTAACAACTCTTCCCAGCACCTTAACTGTGCTTAGTAAGTATCTGATGTGCCATTTCAACCTTTGTATTCATTCCTTTAATGATTTCAGTTAAGGCATTTGAAGCAAATCAGTTCTGTTTAATGGCAGAAATAAACACCTTTCTCAAGTGGTATTTGAGAGAGGAACAACACTTAGTTTCTGGAGTTACCCAAGACAGAGCCTTGAGTAGCAAAATAAAAAGGCAATCACTGGAACAGATGTTCTACTGTATGGCTTGAAGATGGAGTTTTTTGGCTGAGATGAGGAGTTACAGGACAGAGCGCACTCTAGTGACTGAATCATAACTTCTGGCATTATAGTAATTCTCCAGCTTTTTGTTGCTGTTTTAGGACCTTTGCACAGAACTGTAGAAACATCGAACACTTAAATTTGAACGGGTGCACAAAAATCACTGACAGGTAAGTCGAAGGTTTTTTCTGTTTGATGGTGAAATTTGGAAAAAGAAGTAGCTGAAGGTATTTTTAGTGTGTCTGCTGTTTTGCAGCACGTGTTACAGTCTTAGCAGATTCTGTTCCAAGCTGAAACATCTGGATCTGACATCTTGTGTAGCCATCACAAACAGCTCTTTGAAAGGCTTAAGGTAAGAAGATGTAGTGTTTTGTGTTAAAGAAAATAATTTAAAGAACTGTTCAATATACAATAAAGTTTTAAGACAAAACCACAGTGCTGAACCTTAATACTGTGCATCAGCACTGGCTGTATCTTATATCTAGAACTTCTTGGGTGTAGACAATGATGTTTGTGTGTGGTCTTTTCTCTTGACTTTTCTGTGGAGGCCTGGCACGGTCCACTGGCTATCATTAATTTCTAACAGTGTGTTTAATTTGGGTTTCCCACTGTTATGACTATTTGAAGGCTGGATTTAACTTTATGTATTTTTCTAATTCTCCCAGTGAGGGTTGCAGAAATCTGGAACATTTGAATCTTTCCTGGTGTGATCAGATTACGAAGGATGGTATTGAAGCACTGGTGAAAGGGTGTAGTGGACTAAAAGCTCTATTTCTTAGAGGTTGCACACAGGTACATAACTGCTTGGGTGATCCTTTAGGAATAAAATTTTTCTTTTGGCTTTTTGAAATCCATGAATTTAAAAAGTGTATTGTTTTTGTTGTTGTCTTTTGTTCAGTATTACAAGATATATACATTGCTTCAGTTTGCTTATAATTTCTTGTTTCTTTTCCTTTGTCCAATTTAATTGCTGATACAGTTAGAAGATGAAGCATTGAAACACATTCAAAATCACTGTCATGAGCTTGCAATCCTGAACTTGCAGTCCTGCACAGTAAGTATTTGGTACTTCAAAAGATACATTCTCTAGGAATCTTAGACCATTTCCAAATGCTAATGAATGACACACTTAAATAATTCAAATAGTATATGTCTGCAGTTTAGATAATTTTGTGTATAATAGATATCTTGTGGAGCATGCTGGTAGTTCCACAGCTAAGTGTGGATTTACAATGGGTTTTCTCATCATTCTGTCTTTTGACTGTAGCAAGCTCCAGAGTAAGAATTAACTGCATGCATTCAACTCTCATGAATTGTGTGTACTAAAACATGCAGTGTCACAAATGTAATTCTTGTTCTCCCATCTGTTAAGGTCAAACGTTTTGATCCATTCATAAGGTTAAGATTTCTAATTGAGCAGAAGCCATATTGTGGGCTACATAATGGAGAGTAAAAATCTATTGGCATCATACTGGGAAATGATTCAGAACCATCTAAATAGCAGAAGGACATGCTTTTTTCAACAGCGATGGAAGATGACCTTCATTTCTGATGAAATAATGGGGAATCATTCATGTTTATTAAATTGTACTTACAGTACATACAATTTAGGTTTGCTGTATTACATCTGCTTTTTTTTATTTCTGATTTAACTTTTTAGGAGCGAGGCAGATCTTGTAGGCTTGAAACATAGTTAAATCACTGCTCAGCTATAAATAATCTTTAGAAAAGTTTGAAATAAATTGAGTATTAGGGCCTTTGTCAAGCACCTTCAAATAATTAAAATGTTAGATTTTTTTCCTTTTGGAAAGTTGCTTACAGTTTTATTGCTGGAACATGCCATAAAATCTGCATGAATTCAAGCACTGAAACATTTCCTCAGTTTATGCTTCATAGGACTATTTTTTGTTTGCTATATTTGTTGTCACATAGATGACAATCATAGGGATTTGGAAGGACCTCAGGATGTCATCCAGTCCAATCATGCTAAAGCAGATTCCCCATAGCAGGTAACACAGAACAGTGTCCAGTTGGGTTTTGAATGTCTCCAGAGAAGGAGATTTCACAGCCTCTCTGAGCAACCTGTTCAGTGCTCTGTAACCCTCCCAGTAAGAAGTTTTTCTTCGTGTTCATATGGGAGTTCCTGTGTTCCAGTTTGTGCTCGTTGTCCCTTATCCTGTTGCTGGGCACCAACAAAAGGAGCCTGGCCTGTCTTGACACCTACCCTGCAGATATTTATAATCATTAATAAGATGACCCCTCAGCCTTCTCTTCTCCAGGCTGAGCAGCCCCAGGTCTTCCAGCCTTTCCTCTAAAGTAAGTTGCTCCATGCTCTTTGTCATCTTTGTGACCCTCTACTGGACTCTCACTACAAATTCCCCATCTTTTTGGAACTGAGGAGCTCAGACCTGGACACAGTACTCCAGATGTGGCCCCACCAGGGCAGAGTTGAGAATCACCTCCCTTGACACACTGTTCTTAATGCACCATTGGCCTCCTTGGCACAGGCTCACTGCTGGCTCATGGCCAAGCTGCTGTATACCAGGTCACCCAGATCCTTCTCTACACAGCTTCTTTTCAGCAGGTCAGCCCCTAGCCTGTACTGATGTGTCTGGTTGTTCCTCCCCAGGTGAGGATCCTACATATTAAAAATATGTATAAATAGACAAGCCTCAAAAATCACAAGTGAAAAAAATTTTCCCTTTGAATTTTTGAGTTGCTAGCATGTATGTCCTACTTATTTGGGCGTGCTTTGAAGCCGATTTCAGCAAGTATGTCCTGCTTGCTGGGCTTAGAAGTGTGCTTCCAGAAGCAGCCAAGCTCTTTGTGATTAAAGGGCTCCCACTGATTTTACACAGTAGGTCTCCCTGTACTTCATATGATTCATACTTCAATTCTAGCAGCTTTGTTTTATGGACCTCTTAAAATGACAGGCAAAGTCCAGTAGCTGCAAAGTGAACTGACACTACCTCTGGAAACTGCATCTATAAGGTCCCATTTCTGGAATGTAGAAGCTGGGGACTTGCAGGCATTTCTGTCCACTTTTCTTTCTTAAGAGGGATTGAAATAACAGTCTCAGAATATTCCTGTATGTAACTTAAAGTTTTTGCTCCATCTCCAGCAGCAGCGTAAGGTTCTGCATGGTCCCTACCTATGAAGTAGATTGTTTACTCAATAATTATGTCATGAATGTATCTCAAAGGAAACAAAAAATATCATATTCTGGGAGGATCGAAGCCAAAAAATAGTTGGTTTATATTGGACTATTAATAATGAGTAGTATTAATCAAAACTTATCTTTGTAGCTGATGCAAGGTTTTCTGGACCCACAATGAGAAGAAATCTAATTTTCTGTCTTCATTTGAGAGAAAAGTTTGCAAATTTAAACTACTGATACTGAAATGTTTTGGGGAAGGAACATAAGGTGATAACCTTTTGTGCTCAACTGCAGTTTCCCATCCTGTTTACATCACCTTAAAAGGTGATGTTTGTGGTAGTGATTCGAGCAAATATGCTATGGTAGTGTTAGCATACCTAGGTGGGAGGCCTATAAAAGAAGCGTGTACTTTTAATTTGAAATATGGTAGAGGACCTTGTTACCGTTGCAAGAATAATCTTAGTCCAGGAAATAAGACTTGCCTCAGCATGAAGGATTAGCTGTTCAGCAGAAAAATTAAGTTCTTGGAATAGGAACGAGTGGAGGAAGGAACACTTTTTCCAACACAGATTACCTGTAAATAAACAAATATTTGCACATGCATCCAAGAATGTAGTTCCTGTTGCTGTTTTATGCACAGCTGTGTTGAGACTACCTGGGATTGCTGCCTTTTTCAGAGTTTGTTGTCTTCATCTTCCATATTGAGAAAGGCTTTTTTTTTTTTTTTTTTTTTTTTTTTCAGTCTGCCAACTATGGAAGAGTTTTGAGAAATGGAAAAACTCCATTCTTTGAGTCTTAAGTGTGGATGAATGATTTCTACTGTTGAGTGTAAAATAGGTTTTGTAGTTGTGGTTCTCCTGCTGTTGAACTGGAGTGAGATGTTTCACATAATGGCAGCTACATTTAAAAAAAAAAAATAAAGGAAGTGTTATATGAAAACTGTAAAGCAAATGCAAATTAAAAGAGAAACAAGAAGAACGAAGTCTGCTTCTGTTCTTGAGATGGCATTTGAACAGTATTCTGTGTTTGGAAAAATGCAGAGAGAAAGAAGAATCATCTATGTTGATTTTATTCTCAACATTGCCAGTAAGTTATCCTAATGGCATTTTTGATTGAAAGTTTACAGGCTGTCCATGGTTATATACAGGGTGACAAAGAGTCCAGAAATATGACTAGATTTTCATTCCTGTCAGACAACTGAATAACAGAGCAATTTCAACTTCTTCTGTGTTGCAGCAAATTTCAGATGAAGGTATTGTAAAAATCTGTAGAGGATGCCATAGACTTCAGTCACTGTGTGTTTCGGGCTGTTGCAACCTTACAGATGCTTCTCTCACAGCACTTGGTCTAAACTGCCCAAGGCTGAAGTGAGTATCTCATGAGCATGTTGTGTGTGTGTCCTGTTGTTACTGACCTGGTCTATCAGCTTCACTTCTTCAGATACCAGCTGATATGCATGAGTTTGGTTTAGCTCTGCATTACCTTTACAGTGAAATTAGTTAGAGGTATCAGCTGAATCTAAACTAAAAGGCTGGTCCTCAATGCAGCTATAGAAGAAATACAGTCTATCATACACAGGAAAAAAAAAATAAACATATGACAAATGAACATGTAGATTCTGTAAGTTCAGTTCTTTAGCTGAACATTATGAACCAAGTGAGAAAAAGATAAGGCCTACTACTTTTTTTGTAAGGTGAAAGTGTCTGTAGTTGTGGTATATCTTGTGATATTTTTGGTTTTATGCAATCATTCATATTGCAAAAGATAGGTAAGTTATACCTGAATATTGTATGTACAGTGTATAATCAATAAATGTACAGATGTTATAGTTATGAAATATACCAGAGAATTTGGCTATGCAGTTATTATACCAAAACAGAACAGACAGAATGCTTACCTGTATCCTGGACTTGCTATGAAACTCCAAAGGAAGGATCACCAAAGAAGATCCTTCCCCACTGGCAGTCAGCTCTTAAATGGGTCTGGGAGAGGCGCAGCCAGGCTCCAGCCCTTCCATCACACAGCTGAATTGCCTTCACCTGTGCTCCCATGGCTGACTCAGTGCTCGCCTCAGGTGGTCTTCAGAGGTTCTTCAGGCCATGATTCAGCAGTTCCCATACAGTACAGATTTTGTTATATATGCATTCTTACCATGCTTTGTAGTGCCTTGTGGCAGTCTTGATCTCTGATGTGGAGTATGTTAGTATCTGCGAGCACTGAGGGATGCATTTTGGGTAATAAAGGAGCAGGAGCTGGTTCTTCTCCAACTTTCTTAGTGCTTTTTATAGCAAGTGTAAGAATCTAACATACTCTGAGAGCAGCGAGTTACAACATGGGTATTGGTTTTATCTCCATCTTTGCACGTTCTTGGATCTTCCAGTGGCAGAAGCGGGTGTGCAGTGTGCTGGTGTGCAGTGTGCTGGTGTGCAGTGTTCCTGTCGCTTGTTGAGTGACAAAAGAGCTTTTGTTACTTCAGAAAACCTTTCCTTGAGACAGCTGAGGCGTGATGATCTCCCTGACGTTACCGTTCATAATTACAAGAGCTTCTCCTTGGGGCCAACTTATCTTTTGACACACTCAGCTGTGTCCCTTAAGAAAGCCGTGCTGTTATTGAAAGACTTTTCATTTCTCCAGTTCTCTCAAATTCCCAGCTCGATTCCTAGCTCATTTATTTATGGGAAATTAAAGTCTGAAGCACTATTAATTGCACAGATCTTTCCAGGGGAAGCACAAGCGTAGCAAGAATTGTTTTCCTCTAGAAAATAATATCTTCGTAACTAGAAATAGTCACTCCTGTTGGGAAGCCTGCCTTTATTATGAAAGCTGCTGGTCCTCGGCTGTGCCACGAGGGGGAAGGTGGCCACTGTGAAGCAGAACAGCAGAAAGAACATTTCAGCCTTTGCAGTGATACTGCGGAGGAGTGTGTGATGGAAGGACAGGTGGTACAGATGGTTTTACAAATTGGGTTGAAAGGGAAGAGGAAATGTAATTGCAGACTTCTTGGGCTGAGTGCACACCCTCTTTCAGGAAGAGCCTGACAGTCTTCTGGTTTCTTATCCCCTGCTTCTCTAATCTTCAGAACTTTTCAACCAGATGTGCTCCAAGTAGAGTCTTCACTGCTGTGTGAAGATGTCATTATTCTCACCCTTTAATGTTGGAAGTGTAATGTGGTTGAGGTCTCAACTAAATGTGGAAAGGAGGAAGAAGGGTAACAAACACGGCGTGAACCTTTGTTTATCTGTTTTGTGATTTTGTGGGTTTGTTGGTTTTCTCTGTTTGCTTTTTCCTTTTGTTTTCCTTTGTCCTAAATGGCATCCTAGGTGATTCTCAGATTAGCTGACAGTGTTATTTTCTCTAAAGTGGTGGTGGTGTAGTTTCTTGGTTTTTGTTCTGGGCTTTGAGGGGTTAAGCTCTTTGTCCTCTAGTAGGTTGCTGTACAGTGCTTTGCACACAGGCTCTGATACTAAGTGGTGTCTCAATTTGGTGGCTTCCCAGCTTTGTGCATTTAAATGACAGGAATTTTAGATAGGATCTTTACCTGTGCTTTCTTAACTCAGGATATATTCTCCCACACGGTTCTTCTGATAACTCTTGAGAAAACTCACTGAAGAGGTTAATATTGCCTGTAATTATGTACACTGTTTTTCACTAAATGTTGAGAAGGTTTGAGGATTGCACTTGATCCTGTTCTCTGTCTATTAGAATCTTCTGAGGAGCTGGATCCAGAGTCTGCCCAGTGCTTTTTAATTGCCAATCAGTGTGAAAAATAGGCACGTGCCTTTGCTGTTAAGAGCTTTTGAGTTGCACACAATAGACCTCTATCTCAGATACACTTGCTTTCCCCTGAATTAATGTTTTGCTTTACCATTTCCAACTTTTTCAGGATTTTGGAAGCTGCAAGATGTTCACAGCTCACAGATGCTGGTTTTACCCTTTTAGCACGGGTAAGGGTCATTTCAGAAAGTTAGAGCTCACCTTGTTTTCATTGCTGCTGAGCAGCTGTGAGTTGATGTTGTCCTGCTGGGAAGGAATATGAGAAAGAAAAATCAATTAAAGAGTCCATTGGAGGGCGGGGACAGGATTAAGATTTATTTTATTGCTGGACTCCACTTAGAGTTTAAATCTATTTTGCTAATAGATTCCTTCTTGTTTTCTTTTTTTCTTTTTTTTTTTTTCCCCTGTATTTTTAGTATGTTTGAATTGAATTTATTTTGCTTAGCAGAAGTCTAACATTGTTACACATTCCAGCCAACTTTACCCTATAAAGATGCTAAATACCCTTGTCATATTTGCATCCAAAAATACCATCATATAGTAGGTTATTCTGAGCACCCTTGGAAGCTTCAAAATGCTTTCAGCCATATGCTACAAACTGTGAGCACTCATGCCATGATTCGTGCTGTGGAAAGGTAAGCATATTGACTGTACCAAGTGCCTGAAGTTACACTTGTGTGCTTGCTGCTTTAGGAAACCTGAACGCAAACGTAGAGTGTGTAAGCAGGATTAATTTACACTACTGGCATTTGGCGTGAATGAAAGTATTTCCAGCCACAGTGGTTAAACGGAGTGATTTTCTAATCATTCACCACTGCAGCCTGGAGCTTTCAGTAGTCTTCAGGCCTGCCTCTGAGAGCTGCAATTAAATGGTACCCTCCTGTGCCTGCTGCTAACAAGGGCTGGGCTTGGTCTGAGCAGCGTGGCACTGTGTTCTGCTGTGAGGTCACAAGGTGACATCATTTTCTTGAAATTAGTCATGATCAGGTAACAAAAGCACTTAAAATCACAGAATTGCTCAGGTTGGAAAAGACCTTAAAAATCATCAAGTCCAACCACAACCTAACCATACTACCCACACTCTAACAACCCTGCACTAAATCACGTCCCTGAGCACCACATCCAGACAGATCTTAAATGTATTCAGGGATGGTGACTCAACCACCTCCCTGGGGAGCCCATTCCAGTGCTTAACAACCCTTTCTGTAAAGAAGTTTTTCCTGATACCCAACCTAAACCTCCTCTGGCACATTTCCCCTTGTCCTGTCACCAGTGAGAAGAGAGCAGGGTCACTAAGAATGTTGGAAAAATTGCTTCAATTATCACCTAAGAAAAAAAAAAGAAGCAATCAATGTGAAGTACAGCTTTCTCCCAGCCTTAAAGTAGACTCTGTTTTAGTTTTTTCGGATAGCAAAACAAATTGTTTTTAAGGCTTCATGCTAAAACTTCAGTGGTAAAGAGAGATGTTTCAGAGGCAGTGGTGTCTTTCGGATTACTTTGATGGAGGTTGATGAATGCAGAAATTGAATTCATCTGCGTGCTGAGGAGGTATCTTGAATACAAAGGCTGTAAATGCCATTGGTACGAATCCTGCCAAGAGGGGAATGCTGAAAGCAGGGGTGGGTGAGTGCTGATGACAAACAAATCTTGCAGGGCAAAGAGGGCGAACATCATTGATTAAGAGAAAAGGCTGAAAATGTGAAGGTTTTGAGAGGGAGATGTATTGCTTTTGGTTTTTTACATTTTTTAACTTTTGTTCTTTGGTGGTGGTCAAATAATTGAAGGGATTTAGCTCAGTTTCTTCTTGAAGGTTGTGCTTTCCCACATTACTGGACTCGTGCATTATCTTACATCTGTATGTTGTTTTATTTCATCTTAGCTGTTTTTGTATATTTTAGAACTGCCACGAGCTGGAGAAGATGGACTTGGAAGAATGTGTTTTGGTGAGATTTCATTTTAAAAAGTACAGAGCATGCAGTGTGGGAATGCAGTGCCAGTAACAGCATAGAATCACAGAATCGTAGGGGTTGGAAAGGGACCTCTGGGGATCATTGGGTCCACCCCCTGCTGAAGCAGGTTCCCTACAGGAGGTACAGAGGGAGGCATCCAGGCGAGTTCTGCATGTCTCCTGCATGGAGAAGGAGACTCCACAACCTCTGTGGTCAGCCCATTCCAGAACCACCAGCACTTTGAATTAAAGTTGCTGCAGTGTTTTGGGTTTGTTTTGACTGGGAAGAGAAGTGGGAGGGTAAGTGCTGTGTTATTGAGAGTAAATAAAAGTGGAAAATTCTGTACAAGGAAATACGTTGTGAGTAACAGCTGATTGGGTGTTTGCCAGAGAAGTGTATGGTGGAGGAAAAAAACAGCTTGAATCTGGTAAAGGAAGGGATATCTTCCTTGATTGGTGCCCCCACATGCACACACCTCACCGCTGTTGGCAGCTTACTGTTGTTGCTTTTTTTTACTTCTAGATAACTGACAGCACCTTGATACAACTTTCTATACACTGTCCTAAACTACAAGCATTGGTAAGTGTAACTTCTGTTTGTGAGCTTCAACACCTGATATATAACACTTGCAACATCTCTGTGACATAAAGTACAATTGTCCACTCTTCAGCTACAGAAATTTCCTGGAGTAGAAGAGTATTTTGGCAATACTGTCAAAAAAAAAAAAGAAAATTCCATAAGTATTTTATAGGAAACGAATTACTACCAAGTATTTAAATTCACTGTTTGATAAAAGAGATTACCAAGTTAGTAATAACCAGAAGGTTTATATTTTATGGTTAATGTCCTTCATATGTGATTCCTCAATTGAAATAAAACTTTTTATGGGAAATTTGCAGTACCTAGATGCTTCATAGTTATCTTTGTGTGTTCAGTAATGGTTTCCTTGGGGTGCAGACACTTGAAGTTGTAGACTGAAGCAAGTCAAATACTGAATAAACAACAGCAAAAAAATCACTATGTGAAGATAAATCCAAATCCTCTTCTGTAATCAGTTTTGCATGCATGCAGCTTTTCCCAAGGACTTAAATTGCAGAAGGTTTTTTTTGACCTTTCCAAAGAGATCGGGGAGGACTGGGGTGCCGTCAGCAGGGCGCTGCTCACAGTATTGCACAGCACTGTTTGTAGGGAGTGGTTGGTTACATCTTCCTGAACATCAGAACAATTTCAGGTGATGGGAGTTTGGCTGTCCTCTGGTCAAAGTACCCCATAATAATTAATTCCTAGAATGCCCTTAGAGCAGGGCTTCTCTGTTCAGGGCCAGTTGTCCATTAAGTGTAGATCTGTTATGTGTTACTTGGAATGTACCTGTGAGAACATGTATCTTTATAATCTGCTCTTAGATGGGATTAAAGGAGGGCTTGCTGCTTCATTAAGTGAATTGGTTTTTCCAGCTCAGTGTTACTAAGGCAGCAGCGTGGGGAGAGATGGCTTTTAAAGGAGAGCCTTATTCAGTATTTGTTGCTGATGGGTTTGATTTTTCCTTGCTCACTGTCCCACTTCATTTCTGTTCCACTGTTCTTAACATTAAGCCAAACCAAGGTTATCAGGAGATGGGGGTCACTTACATGATCTGTGATTCTGTGATGGATATGTTCTTGTGTTGTAATCCCAGCTATCAGCAGCACTGGCAGAAGATCTTTTGCACCAGTTCTGCCAGCGCTTTACCAGAGAGATCATAGAAATGAATAACATTCAGGTATTTTTCTTAACCTGCTGCTGTTTGCTAACACCAACTGAGCATCTTCCTCTGTTTGTTAGCCCACAGATGGGACGTGTGGCAGTGGTGTAAGGACAGCTTTATAAAGGGAGTCAGAAGAGCTTGCTTTTCCGCTGATGTGTGTATCCTGTGTGTAGCAAGGATGCGTACTCAAACCTGTGAATGAACAGGGTGGTGATCACAGGGAAAGCAAGCAGATGGCAGATAACCTACATGAAGTAATCCTGATACTTTAGATTTGAAATCATGTATTATCAAGTAAACTGTTGTCTGGCTGTGGTTTAGCATACATCCCGGTGTACTCACAGTTTAAACAGGTATTTTGAAGTTGAAGACAACTTTGAATTTGTTTCTTGGTGTTCAGAGGCTTAGACCATGGAAATAAGGGAAAGCACTGTTACATTGCAACCAACTGTTACATCTTCACTAATGTTTTTTTAGTTACTGGACTTGAGAAGTAATTTCCAGTGGATCTGCTTGAAGTTAGTGCACTCAGATTAGTAGACACTGACTGTGAAGCACTCATGGGTAGACTCAGAGAGGAAAAGACAGTTGAATTCTTTAGCTCTGTTTATCATAATGTTTCTTACTGGCACAGTATATTCATGCCATATTTGATTTATAAGCAATCTTTAGAATGTGTTGATTTATTTATTTTTTTTTTAATGGCTGTATCTCCTTATTCTAAAGATTTCAATCAAAAACATTTGGAAATTCCATGTTCCTAACACTTTTTAACAGGTACATGAAGTCAGTTTTGCATATTTGTTTTACAGAGTCCTCTGAACTCAGCTGTACATCTTGTATTGCTCTTTCAGCACCAAATATGGTGTCTCAGGAAAGCTGAATTTTATAAGCTGCTTACTTACTGGGATGGAAAACTCTTAATTAGCCATCAGGCTGCTGCTGTGCCAACAGCTCCTGTCCTTCCTCGAAACAGCAGGACTGTTAGAAATGTTCTTTAACCCTGCAGTTGCTGACTGTTTCCAGACTGTGAGCCAGATCAAATGCTCAAGGTTTCCTACATAGAAGTGAATATAGGAGAGAACTTAATTACTTAAAGAGCTAATAGACTCACAGAATGTAAGCATGAGATAAAATGCTTTTTGATAGGGACAAATTTACTATCTCTGTCACTTTTTGGAGACAGCATGCAGCAGTTGTGGCGTTGCTCAGTCACTGCTGGCAGCTCAACTTGGTGAGTGAGTAAAATGGAATCAGCCAGAGGTGAGGGAAAGAGGACAGCTGCAGAGAGCCATCTCTCATCCTCCTTTCTGGCTACTGGCTCACCCTTCCCCTTTGCAGATCTATATAAACTCGGTCCTATTGGCATATATGGAAACTGACTCTATTACAGTAGCTGTGAAAGTCACTCCTCATGTGTTCTTGATCATCCTTTAAAGTCTCCTGCTTCCGGCACCCTGGATGCGCTGCTGGGGCCTTTTGGTGACCGAGGTATGCAGCAATGGATTGCCACTCATCAGGAGCTGAGGGTGTTGGGGAGTTGGCCAGTGACGCACCTAATTGGGCTCTTAAGCTCTACTACTTACTTGGAAGCCAAGTTAAAAATTAAGTACAGCCCTTCTTCTGTTAACTGAACTGCTTCTTTTGTTACGGTTCTGGGTTTAAACTTCATATTCTTTGCAACTTTAACCACTGGAGTGAGAGACGCTGAAGACAACTGCTGGTGGCTGGAAGATTGACTCATTTAGAATTGTATTGATATTGTTTACCTCTCTGTTTCAGAGCTTATCTCACTGTGAATTGATCACTGATGATGGGATTCTTCATCTGAGCAACAGCACGTGTGGTCACGAGCGGCTGCAAGTACTGGAGCTTGATAACTGCCTGCTCATCACTGACGTGACCCTGGAACACCTGGAGAACTGCCACAACCTGGAGAGAATTGAGCTGTATGACTGCCAGCAAGTCACACGGGCTGGAATCAAAAGAATCCGAGTAGGTGCTGTGTGGGCCTGTTCTGGAGGGAGCACCCACCTCACTGATTCTTCTTGTGATTGTGGGAGTAGTCCTGTAGGTGTCCCGGGCAAGGGAGGGCAGGGAAGCAGCACCTGAGCTCGTTCTGTTAGGCTCCCGTCTGTGTTCCCACAGAACATAGCTTTTCTACATGAGCTGCAGTACTTGCCTGCTTACAATTCTAGATCCTTTTGCTGTTGGAACTGTGTGTTTATATCCATACAGTGCACATATATGATATATTTATGCAGCTGGAATGCAGGAATTACGTGCTGGGAGAAGAGGTTGGGGAGCTTGATGCTTTTTAGCTAGCCAACCCCAACGAGAGCTCATTTTTGGCTGTGTTATGCTCACTTCTTTCCCATTAAAATGCAAACTTCTCATCCACAGGCTCATCGACCTCACGTGAAAGTGCATGCTTACTTTGCTCCAGTAACTCCCCCTCCTTCGGTCGGAGGGAGCGGACAGCGCCTCTGCAGATGCTGCATTATTCTTTGACACAAAGTGCAACCACACAGCATTCTCTGTTTAGTTTTTTTGTTGTTGTTGAAGAAAAGAACTGGACTGCAAGTCAGTGGAAGGAGTTGGTTTCCCGACAGTTACAATGGTGATGTTTGATCATCCAGTTTTGTGACGAGAAGAGCATTTTTTTTTCCAGGTAAAAAGTCTTACTGTAATGTTCAGATGTGGATTAAGTTGGTGATGCTTTGGTTTGTGCTAGTGACTCCTTCCTTCTGTTGGCATGAGAACTGAAGTGCTGTGTACAACGCGGGGGTGTTTCAGCATTATGGTATTTGGTGAACGTTCACTAATGTGGAAGTGAGTTTGTATCTGTAAGCACTTCTATAAGTTGTATTCAGCATGAGCTCTGATGTAAGATGGGGCTCAGGTCAGACACGGGATGAAACTGAACCTGCTGTTCTGTAATATACGTGGCAGATTAAATATCAGGTTTAAGGACAAATCAGCTTTAGCAAACGTCGACCAAAAATGCAAGGTAGTCATGTGCTCTTCCAGCAAAACAGCTTATACTTCTTCATGATCCAGCACTGCATTTAATGACATTAACAGGACATAATAGGTAATGTCAAAAGGTAAAGACTGTACCTCATGATAACTATATAAATACTTGTCAAATTTTTTAACTTGGCTCAGTTGAACTACGAGTTAGGATAAAGCTTGCCCGTCACTGAAGCACGTTTTATGCCCCATGCCATCAGCTGTTAAAAGGGGTTGGAAATCCACTGGGGGGGAGCTTGTGCACTCTGCTGAAACGAGCTGCCACAGCCATCCACGGTGCTTACTGTAATGCCATTACTGTGTCCTCAGTCACCTCCTGGTTTGTAATGGAAGGACGGAGCAGCTCTGGGAAGAGGGATGCACTGCTCCTGCTTTTCTGAGGTGAGGAATGGAAGCTAGGTTAAGCTGCAGGAACTGTGATGGAGTGGGGAGTTGAGGTCAAGCTGTTTGTCCTTGTGTTGTAGGGATGCAGATCTGTGGGCAGGAATTGAACCAAACCAGTGGTTTTCAAATGCAGAAAGGCAAACTCTTCACATCTGGGTTATTAAAGAAGCTGTCAATGTCTGAATAATAATTTAAAAAAATTCTGAATTTCTGAATAATAATTAAAAAAATTAAATAATTAAGTATTAACTCTTGAGGCCATGCTTTCATCCTTAGTTTTCCAGTGCTAGAGGATTAGATAGATGAACTTTTTTATATAAAGCAACCTAATTATCTGAGACAGATAAACTACTCAACAGCTCAGAAAGCTTTTCTGCCTAAGACTGGTTGTGTGTGTTTATGTTTTAAGAGTCTGGGGCCTGCGTGTTTACTGAAATCTAACAGAAATACTGGCTTCATTAACAAAGCCATCCGAGAAGCTCCTACCGGGGCATTCCGGCATCTGTCATAAATCTGAACTACTTTTTAAGTGATGTGAACACTAAGACCTCAGTGGCTACCAACAACGTTACTATCCTGCTGTACCCATTCAGAGGTGACAGGGATGGTAAATGAAGATCTCCACTTTAAGGATAAATACCTAAAGGACAGTGCAGTTTTCTTTTCTACTGCAGAATAAGCCCATCAATCAGGGCTCATTTTGCACACTAGTAGAGGAGTGTTGTTACAATCAGACTTAGATTTCCAGTAAGGCACTGCTGTAATGAAGAGTTTCAAGATTTTATTCTCCACTGCACCAGGGAAGTCATTGGTACCCCTATGTCAAGAAGTGTTGCCTTTGGTTGGCTCAGTTTTGTTTTTTTTTTTAAGAACATAATGAACCTTGTAAGTATGTCCATTGCATTAAAGATGTACAAAAACAAATGGAACCTACTCTGGTATAGGACACTTAAATAAACAATCAGCTGATGTCAATTACTGATTGCTTTGGAGTTTTTTCCCCAATATAAACTTCCTTTGAGAAACAAGATCAACTACGGAGCTGCTCTGCCTCAGTTATTTACCTTTACCAGCCACTCTGTGAGGGGAAGTGGTGCAGTCTGCAACTCTCAGCAGAAGCATCTCTAATAACTCTTCAAAAAGACGACAAATAAAAAGAAAAACATGTTTACAAAATTATTGAAAAACATTTATTATACTTAAATTGAAATGTGTACATCTTATTAAAAAACAAAAGCAATTTGCTGGTGCCATAATTTAATTCCAATTTCAAGTGAGCTGGACAAACTACTGTACAACTTTCAATATTCTTTAAAATTAGATGATATTTGGATACTTTCCAATCAATCTTTCATAAAACATTTGGATTTGAATGTGGTTTGAGCTGAAAAGACTGTTGTCAGTTCAAGAAAATAGTAGGATCAAACAATACCCCAAGATGAACAACTTATAGGCAGAAAAGTACAGAAAGTTTCATTTTCAGTGCAGAAGGAATAGGAAAGAAACTCTAGCTTTGATGAATTTTAATTTTCAAAACGCTACAGGTTTAAAAAGCTTTTCTGCTAAGCACTTGAGCCAGCTATGAAAGAGGGAACAAAAAAAACAAAGTTGCTTTTTTACATGCTGTAGTAGTTGTTTACAGTGAACACTGCAGCATAAAAAGCAAAGTATTGCCAAGCTTTAAGCCAGAGAACAAGGTGGAAACTTCCAAAGGCACAAAATGACCGATGAGAAACCGTCATTCAATACCTTCTGTAGTATTCCCTTCTGAGTACCTAAACAGCTGGAACAACGTTAACGCAGGAGATGCTGTGCCACGTCTTTACAAGAAATAGCCAAAATGCTGAAAAAGCGCATTGCCTGCTTCAGAGCCAAGTGAAACGTGGTGAGATGGAGGAGGCACTGTACCAGCTGTACAGTATGGATCTGAGGGCAAAGAAGAGTCAACGGAGAAGGAACTACACTCAGCCATAACAGTGCCTCCAGCACGGGTTTGCTGGGGAGGCTCCCAGGGTGTGCGTTTAGTGTTCCTTGGGCCGGCTGCTCGGTGGTGATGAAAGCAACAGCAGCCCCTGGTGCCTGTGGGTAACTGCCCTGTAAGTGCGTTAAGTCAGGACGATCCACCTCACTGCCAGCGTGGTGCAACCCCACACCTTACAAGCAAAGAGTTAAACTGCAGCGGCGCTCTGCAGAGAACCTAGGAAACTAAAAAATAAAGGATGCATAGGCAATTCTTTTCCATTAAGTTTGTTAAAGCAAAACACAATTACTCGGTACCCCATAGGATTTGTATTAATCCCTCCAATAAGGTACTATTAATAATGCAGTTTGCTGCATGCATATATTGCATCTGTCTAGGGCTTCTTCCAAGCCCTATTCTGGCATTTACACTTCTTACATACACTCTTATACACAATTTACACAGAAGCTGTTGTGACAGCTTTACTCTCCGAGACCCGACAACCTGATCACTATCAGCTTAACTATTCATCTCCACACAGATTAATATGTGCTCTGCTAACATCAAAAAATAAAACCAGCGTAAGGTACAAGCAAGTCACAGACAAACTGGCACAGAAAGCTAAATGCCCTCAAATAAGTTTACATTCATTTCCAACTGGATACAGGTAACAGAGAAGCAACAGTGTTTCAACTCTAGAACCTGTATCTACTGGCCGTGATTTGCCTTATTTCAATGAAGGGCAAGCACCTGTGCTTACATTGTCGTCCATGCCTGTACGTAAGCTGTCATGGCATTATACCTCTCATGAGGACACGTAGCTATGGCAGTGACAAGAAAGTTCACCTATCAAACAGCTCATTAGAAAGGTCATTTTGTGTTTTCAATATGAAACATCTTATACGGTGAAGCTAGATCCTAAGTTCTTGGATGATCTTCATATTAGGCAGGATTTCGTTCAGCACTGGAGTATCAGTCAAGCAGTCGTGTGGCATCACTTCAGAATTATGTGGAAGCCTTCACCATTTTCAGCTGAAGGAGAAAGCAGCGTCAGTCTTACATAAACAGAACCAAACCTCTCCAGCAACACACCAAACACTGAGGAATGGACCTGGGTTCCACATGCAGAAGGGCTTCACTACTGCTCTGAAGCATTACACTTGAAACTGCCTTAAGCAAGATTTGGTGGTGCAACAAACATCCACGCTCTTAACTATCGTTACAAGATACCGTACCTTTTATCGTGGTGAATAAGAAACAACTTTCATCCTGAAAGTTTTGAACCATCTAAAAAAACAACAAAAAAACATTTTTGAAACCTTCCTGCGTATGCCCAGCGCAGATAATTGCATCAGATACTAAAAACAGCCTTTTCTTTATGAGCAACTGCACGTGCTCAGCCAGTGTCCAGATGTGACAAGCATATACCCAATTATGTCTCAATACCACTTGTCAACCAGGTGAGAGCCAGACAGGAGCCTCTTAGTGGTGGCTGTGCAGAGCACCTGGGTAAGCTGTGTTCAGCAGTACTCAGCCAGTCCCTGCCTTCGGCCGTGTTCAAAACAGATACAAAGCAAGTAATGAACGCAGCACCTCACAACTGCACAGAGCAGTGCTCTTTCTCTCCTTAGTCTGTGATTATCTGGATTGAAAATGCTAGGCTGCTTTACCAAACCGACAAAACAGCAACATATTAAAAAAACTTCAATTTTGCAAAAATTCTATTTTTGAATAAAAAAATTCCCATTACCTGATCACTAACAAGAATGTGGATGCCAGTGGGACCCTGTCTGTAAACCTGGTTGATCTGATGCAAAGGAATATTAAATGCCAAAGCAAGCTTGCGTGTGACTTCTGAGGCTGCCATTTCTTCTAAGTAGATTGCATGATAAACTGCCAGGAAAAGAAAGAACATAAATAAGCACCAGGCTGACTGGAAAAGGGAAACTGGATGAAAAAAACCTGACTTAGTTGATATTCCCGGCTCCTAGAGAGCTAGAAGCTGCAGACACCTTTCCTCTGCTCTCCCTGGACTCTCTACCCAGCACAAGCTGCCGTGCCTTTTCTTTCAAGGTAAGGCAGGAGCACAGCTCTCTGCCTGGGGGGGGGGGCTCTGCTTGCTGACACTGAAGGAAACTCCTGCATTTTTCCTGTGTCCTGCACAAGACACGATCAGCATGGGCTTCAACAGCTCTTTGAGTCACTTGAAGATGACTTTGGAAGTAGTTTTGGAGTGCCTCAAAAGACAATAATGCTTCTGACGTACTGACACTGCTGCTTGAAACAGTGGGCTGTCATCTTTTTGGTAAAGAAAAACCTTTTTCACCTTTCTGAACAAGTTTTCTTATCAACACTTCAGAGCTGAGAAACGGGGCTGAAATACAACATGGCAAACAGTAAGACAAAGTAGCTGCTCATTGGTTTTATGCTGTATTTAGAGTCTTCTCTCTTTACTTAATAGTGCCAGACACCCATAGCAGCTCTACGCTTGGACTTGCTTCTTTCCCAAACCACAGACTGGATACCCAGAACAAAGCACATATCTGACAGGCAGGGCTCTATGTACAGATCCTCCTCCACCTCAGTTCTCCCATGGAACAAACACAGCTACCAATACAGCAGCAGCCCAGAGAGGTTAGGGATTCCAGATGGTTGGTTGAGGGCACGGATGTCTCTTCAGTAAGAAAAAGGTGATTTCAAGAAGCTCCACTCTCTTAAGATTGATGTGAATTTACAATTAAACATTAGGTTCCCATCTGAGCTATGTCCTAGGAAAACTACATTAAAGCCACAGGAAAGTAACACAGTGGCTGCCTCTCCTTGTCCAGGCTGCACCAGTTCTAGTTCAGCTGCACAGAAAATGACAGCAAAATGTAACTAAAGGATGGCTGTGAATTTAAGCCTTTAACTTGCAGCTAGCTTTCCACATGCATCTAGTTAGTGTATCTTGGCTGTGCAACACAGCACGGCTAATTTGAAAGTCCTTTAATTAATTATCAGTTTAACTACAGTTAGTTTTATCAGTGAACTGAAAAATCGAGGAGTCAACCTTGAGAGGTTTTAAGGTCATGCACTGTTAACAAACAAGCCGTGTGCTTTTCAACACACCTTCCTGTGGTTTCGCTTGCTGTGTTTCAGGAACAGAATTTCATCTTCTCACCATCCTTTCCCCCCCACACCCATCTTGTTTTACATTTCTCAGACACAACGACAGCACGTTAAGGGACCCCTGCTCCGTACCATATATTGCACCATTGCTGCTATCACCGTTGCCTGCATCTTGTCTCTCCAGTTGTATGCTCCTTACTGGCTCCTGACAGACGTAGATGGTTAGACGGGGCCTCACAGACCTGCAAGGCAAACAGCCCACGTTTACAGAAATGCCTCCCTGCCCTGAAAGGACGAGAAGTCATCTGCCACAAGTGTGAATTTGTTACGTCAACAGTACACCTGAAATGCTCCTATAAAGGCTCCCAGCAGTGAGTGCCTATTTCAGTCACAACCAAGACCCTTTCTGTGCTTGCAGCCAACACGTGTAACATCCCAAAGCCTCAGGCTGTTCTTAGCTCACCTACATGTGCCACGCTGTGCTGTGGCAACAAATTCACACATACAGGAAGCCAGCAGTGCGCAGCCCCACCGGTACCAGCCCTACAGGTCACTGCTGCTGAGCACTGCACTGCGCCCACTGCTGCCCACAGCTCAGCAGGGCTGCTCTGAGGACCACAGGAACCTCCATCTGACTGCTGCCAGTCCCAGGGCAGCGCTCAGGGCCCATCAGCTGCTGAATTCTCAATTCCTGCATCTCCATGTTCTAGGGAGCAATAGAATAAAGTCTGCTCAGCCATGTGCTCCGTGTTTTACCTGGATTTCAGTGCATTATACAGCCGAATTCCATCGGCTGGACCACAGATTTGTACCAGATCTTCTCTTGTCAGCTTTAATAAATCAGCACCTGGAGAAACACATGAGGATTTTACTAAGTTTATTCTTGCATATTTATGATTTTTTCTAG